GGCTATTGTTTTCAGAACACGTTTTTTCTTTGTTAGAATGTCTCCAAGATCTGGCTATTGTTTTCAGAACACGTTTTTCTTTGTTAGAATGTCTCCAAGATCTGGCTATTGTTTTCAGAACATGTATTTCTTTGTTAGAATGTCTCCAAGATCTGGCTATTGTTTTCAGAACACGTTTTTCTTTGTTAGACTGTCTCCAAGATATGGCTATCCACGATACCTACTGGTGTGAACAAGACTCTTTGTCAGAGCAAACAGAGTTCAACACTATTCAAATACTTAAGGCTTTTAACGACTTCTTACTAAGAAATTCAGCGCCACAAGCTCAGTACTCTTCTAATCTCCCACTTCCTAGTTTCAGTTGAACTACAGATCACAAAACTCACCCACTCTTTAAGTACTTATTGCTAATCTTATATACTTTGTTGTTGGTTATTAATTTATCAAGTCACGTACCCAAGTAACATTATTCACAGTCCTTTATTTCCTATGAATTATTATGCTAAAATTATACATTTGCTATAGTAAAAAAAAGGATTAACTGTTCAAAAACAATTTTCTGATCAGGGTTTTTATTTACTTTTAAGCATCAAAGCGCATTGATTATTAATAATTTACTTATAATAGTACAGCGCCACCTATTGAGCAATCAGCAAACGTTGACTATTTTGAAGCCTCATAGACTATTGTTGCACGTAAGTATTCAAATCATCTTATAAACATATTTACGTAAATACCAAGCTTTTTACATTTTAAAGGTATTTAAACATTTCTATTACATTTTCGAGAATTTCCAGGTGGCGCTAAAATAGTCATAATTTCCAGTTTTTATTATTTATGATGGACTGATAGTGATTCAGTGGTTAGTATGTCAAGCTGCGTATCCGAAGGTCCAAGGTTCGACGAGCGATATTTCAGACTTTCAGTTGCGTGTGTGTTGGGGGGGGGGGGCTATAACCTGAGAGTCAAATCCACTATTCGGATATTTTAAGAGCACCCGACCTGACCGTTTAGTCTATATGTTGCATAAGGTACAGTTCATGTTCGTTTTTTATTGACTTTATTTGCAAATTAATATCTTACTAAATTTTATATCATTTTTCAAATTAATATCTAACTAAATCTTATATCATTTTTCAAATTAATATCTTACTAAATCTTACGGCCCGGCATGGCCAGGTGGTTAGGGTGCTCGACTCGCAATCTGAGGGTCGCGGGTTCGAATCCTACCAAACATGCTCGCCCTTTCAGCCGTGGGAGCGTTATAGTGTGAAATGCGTTGGTAAAAGAGTAGCCCAAGAGTTGGTGATGACTAGCTGCCTTCCTTCTAGTCTTACACTGCTAAATTAGGGACGGCTAGCGCAGATAGCTCTCGTGTAGCTTTGCACGAAATTCCAAACAAACTAATTCTTACATAATTTTTCAAATTAATATCTTACTATATTTCACGAAACACTTTTTACTATCGTATTTTTCAAATTAATATATTGCTGAATTTCAAATTATTACAGGGCCAACTGTTTCAAGAATGACATGTTTACCGCCTGTGTCGACGTTCTGTTGCTGGAAAGGGAAAAGTCGAAGTTTGAAAGCTTCGTTAACATCTTACTGGGAGACAATGAAAGACCGTGATTCGCCCACGCCGATTAAATATTCAATCCATTATGCCATGAATTATTATGGTTATTGTTTCTAGTTCAACAGAGTATTTTCACTGTTAAAATCAATACGCAAAGTTTAATTCGAAATTATAATTGTTATGATGAAAAATATTCTTGCATTTACTAATCATAAAGCTAGCTTATATAATAATTTGAGTTATCATTTTGGCAAGTGCTATTATTGCTAAGCCTGAATCGTAATATTTGTATTTTTTCTGTATGTGTGAACTGTAGCATTTAATTGGCTTCTTTTTTTCAAAATAGTATAATAAAAGATGCATTTTATAATGTACAAGTGAAGTAGTGGATCTTTTTTATTCACTTGAATACATTGATGAAAATAACATGACATAAAGATAACAAATTATTATATTACCTCCCTTTAACGTTTCAACAAACTTAAACTTTGTGATTAGTTATGTGGCACGTTTACAGCCACGCTGGTTGTACTACACTAACGTAAAAATCAACTTACTTGTACAAAGTATTTGTTTGTTTGCAATTACGCACAAAGCTACACAATGGGCTATCTGTGCTCTGCCCACCACAGCCATTGAAACCCGGTTTCTAGCGTTGTAATCCGTAGACATACAGCTGTGCCACTGGTAGGGCTTGTACAAAGTAACTCAATATGCACGATAGCTAACATAGATCCAAATAGTTCTTAAAAACAAAACTGTGGCTGAAAGGAAAACACACTGGTTGATTCACGCTATCTGCTAGAAACAACTCTCTATCTTCTTCCTTATCTTTTTGATGTTTCACTGAACTCCATACATTTAACCTACCCTCGAATTTACTAGAATCTTTGACGTCAAATCTATAAGAATTTTCTAAGCCTATTTTATTAAACCTTTTGATTTTAATGTCATCATTAAAACTTCCTCTAGCTAACATCTAAATTATAACATTAAAATATAGTTTACAGCAATATGTAGCTTGACCAAATACTCGTAAATTTTAGGAATTACCCATATACTCACATTACCGCCAAATAGATATTTTAAATCACTTTACAAGACTAGGAATAGTTTAATGTTACTCTATTCTTAATATTTTGTATAAGTTGAATATTTCATGGACTAAAATACAAAACATTTTACTATGGATGAGTTTAAAAAACAGATCTAGTCAGTTTAGCCTCCAAAACATTTTACTATGGATGAGTTTAAAAAACAGATCTAGTCAGTTTAGCCTCCAAAACCTTTAACAATGGTTGAGTTTAAAAAACAGATCTAGTCAGTTTGGCCTACTAAACCTTTTACTATGGTTGAGTTTAAAAAACAGATCTAGTCAGTTTAGCCTCCAAAACCTTTAACAATGGTTGAGTTTAAAAAACAGATCTAGTCAGTTTGGCCTACTAAACCTTTTACTATGGTTGAGTTTAAAAAACAGATCTAGTCAGTTTAGCCTCCAAAACCTTTTACTATGGTTGAGTTTAAAAAACAGATCTAGTCAGTTTAGCCTCCAAAACCTTTTACTATGGTTGAGTTTAAAAAACAGATCTAGTCAGTTTAGCCTCCAAAACCTTTTACTATGGTTGAGTTTAAAAAACAGATCTAGTCAGTTTAGCCTCCAAAACATTTTACTATGGTTGAGTTTAAAAAAAAACAGATCTAGTCAGTTTGACCTACTAAACCTTTTACTATGGTTGAGTTTAAAAAACAGATCTAGTCAGTTTACCCATTATAATAACACATTTCGAATATGAACAGCACTATAAGATATTATGTAACTAATAAAAAGTAAAAAAAATATTAATTTACTTGGAAAGAATATTACAACAGTTGACTTTGAGAATATTACAACAAATTTTCAGACATAACTCTGATGAAGTAACAACTCTTTATGGTGAAATAATCTCAACTTTTAAACGTTGTTGAGAAGCTTGAGTACATGTGTCACGTGTTTGTAAACACATGATTAAATGTGATACAGTTTTGTAAGAACTTGATTAAGTATAGCAGGTAGATGTAAACACTATTTATCCTATCATGTGGTGATACACACGATTTAAATATTGAATCAATGTGTCACGTGGTTAAATGTGTCACATTGTTGTAAGCACTTGATTAACTAGATCACATAGCAGTAAACACTTGACTGAATGTATCCCGTGATTATAAACACACTATTACATGTATCATGTGGCTATGCACACATGTGAAATGCCAAGTTTAGAAGAATTCCCACCCACTTTCTTCAGAGAACACGATAAACTATTTCAAATCAACTTGTTTTCTTTTTAAAAACAGGAAAAATCGTCAATCTTCTGAAACCTTAGCTGACAGAAAGTAAGTCATTGTCGGATGCCCATTATTAAACACAACGCCTGTAATTTGTGATTCGCGCAGCAGTCTTCTGTGTTAACGTTGCCTAGGTCATTTTAGGATTAATATCAATTACAATGTAATCGAACAAGAAGATTAGTCTGTTAAGACGAACGCGGGAAGTTACAGCCGACTCATCCTCAAAGTACCTAATATCCGATGTCAAGTCCAACATTCGTTAATACTCATTTCGAATAGCTAGTATAGCTTTCAACTTTCGCTTCTTTGCAGACAAGCCCTTGCCCTCGGGATTTAAAATTCACTATAAATGGGCGCCATTGAACGCTGGCACTTTCTGCTATATATAAGCTGCACTTATCTATCAGTCCTAAACTCTCTTGTCTCCAAGCGTTCTCTGCACTCACAACTGAGGTTAGTACAGCACTAAATAATTCTCTTTAATAACTTTTGGATTCGATACAAGAGTAAATATACAACTTTGTAGGTATTAGTTGCTAGTACTGAGTATTATTCTGGTAGCGGGGATATTTTTATCTGTGAAACGTTAAAGGTATTAAGTTAGTTTTCATATGTTTTTTACTCTAAGTAAATGTCGTTCCTCACGTTCTATCCTAGCATCTTACGTTCTACTTACACTTACATTTTCATAGAAAATGTCCGGTCAGAATGTGAGAAGAAAGATGAGACCTATCACTATAATTTTGCTGTCTAATAATTTAAATACAACAAATAGGCCCGTGCGTAAGAAAAAAAAAAAAAACGTTATGAAGTCACAGAAATAACATAGAGTATTAATAACAATAAAAATATGTTAGTCAATAAATGTTTTTTGTACTGAATATACAGGCTAGTCATTGTAAAACAATGTGTCAGACTAGTTACTGTAAAACAGTGTGTCAGACTAGTTACTGTAAAACAGTGTGTCAGGTTAGTTATTGTACAACAATGTGTCAGGTTAATCGTTGTACAGCAGTGTGTTAAGTTAGTCATTGTACAACAGCGTGTCAGACTAGTCATCGTAGAACTGTATAAGGTAAGCTATTGTAAAACAGTGTATCAGGCTCGTCATTGTAAAACAGTGTGTCAAGCTAGTCATTGTAACACAGTGTGTCAGTTTAGGCATCGTAAAACAGTGTGTTAGGCTAGCATTGTAAAACAATGTATCAGATCAACTACTGTCAAACAATTTGTTGGGTTTGTTATTGTAGAACAGTGTATCAGATCAACTACTGTCAAACAATTTGTTGGGTTTGTTATTGTAGAACAGTGTATCAGATCAGCTACTGTAAAACTGTGTTAGGTTTGTTACTGTAGAACAATGTATTAGATCAGCTGTTGTAAAAAAATGTATCAGGCTATTTACTGTATAACAACATATCAAGGCAGTAGATTTGATGAAGTAAAAGAAGTGTGTAAACCTGTAAACACATGCAAGCAGTGAATATGTTTTCGGTTAACATCGTTTGAGAATGCCTCCCACAGGCTCCCCCTCCTGGTCCTTTAACACTTGTTTTATGTTTAGGTTAGTGTTTCGGCATGATATGGCTACATCATGACTACTGATCACACTAGTTTTATACATTAAAGTGCTTCACCGCAGTACACCACACTTAAGTCGAGAAGCTGTGATTACCCCACACACACAACTTCTCTCGGTCAGGGATACTTCTACTGCTTAAGTAGCGATAATAGATTTTCTTCCCTTTAAAAACAGAAAGATAAAGTACTGGCGCTCTGTATCACTTGACCTTTTCGTTTTGCATCTCACGGGTCAGAACTCGTTAAATGTTCACTACCATTCCCACAAATATTTCAAGTTTAAGTATTGTAAAATAAGAGGGACGACGACTGAGTTCATCCAGTCCATGCCCTGTAATGTTCACTACCATTTCCATATTATATTTTAAGTTTAAGTATTGTAAAATAAGGAGCACGACGACTGAGTTCATCCAGTCCATGCACTGTAATGTTCATTACCATTTCCACATATATTTTAAGTTTAAGTATTGTAAAATAAGGGGCACGACGACTAAGTTCATCCAGTCCATGCACTGCAATGTTCATTATCATTTCCACATATATTTCAAGTTTAAGTATTGTAAAATAAGGGGCACGACGACTGGGTTCATTCAGTCCATGCACTGTAATGTTCATTACCATTTCCACATATATTTCAAGTTTAAGTATTGTAAAATAAGGGGCACGACGACTGGGTTCATCCAGTCCATGCACTGTAATGTTCACTACC